ATCTGGTTGAAATGCATTAAGAAATGTAAATTTTCCATTAGGAGTTGATGATGTTGTTACACCAACATAACGATATCCATAATTACTACTATCTAAATGAAATCACATTACAAATAATTTTGTTTTTTCATTCCAAACAACTTTTGGTGTTTCAATTATATATGGACCTTGGCGATCTTTTATATAAACCATAATAAAAAAAAAGACTCTGTCATGTCCTGTATTTTGAGGCGCTCTTTCAAACAAAAATAGAAACCTGAAATGTATAGTATGAGTTTGAACAGAGAATTTCGGGTTGCGAGATCAGAAAACCATAAAATGAGAAAAAAAAAAGGAAAAAAAAGATTTTCCGTTTTATGCGAAAAATGCATACTTTTCAACCTAAATCATCAGCGATTTTGCTGAAAAATGACATGTCCAATAAAAAAAAACGCATCGTTTCTGAAAGAGCAGACTTCAAACTATCTTCCCATGCATTTATCTCAATTTTTTTGACTTTCACGAAAATCGACTTTTTTGAGGGGGACTTAATAACAATCGCATAGCCATGCTGTTTATTAGTTTGTTCTTAACACAATGGGTGAATCCGTGAGATTTCTACCACTTTTCTGGAAAAAACCTTTCTTTCAGAATATTGGCACAGAACACTCTTTTTCCAAAAAGTGGTAGAAATCGCACGGATTCACCCATATTTTTTTATGTCATAAATGTAGTTTGGTATTGTTGTTTTTTTTTCTCGGTGATACAGTGATGATCTGAATACATATGTTAAACTAATAAACGTGCAAGTTTTTTTTTTTATTAACTGTTCCCATAGCATTTCGTGGAATATGATCAAAAATAGTAATTGAATCAGGTAATGAATAATTTGATAAATATTCTTTTGAATATTGTCGTACTGTATCAATTACTAAATTATTTATATTATTTAATGATTTTGGTACAATAATAGCAAGAATTTTTTGATCAAGTGTTGGATCATCAATACCAATAACTAAACATTTAGATATATTTTTATGTTCTAATAAAATACGTTCAATATCTAACGCAGATATTTTATAACCAGCACGTTTAATTATATCCATTGATTGTCTATCACGAATTGAAAAAACATTTTTTTCAGGATCATAACGAAATAGATCATCTGTTTTAAAAAAACTATCATCAGTTGTAAATGTTGCACGTGTTTCATTACGTTTTCGCCAATATTCTTTAAATAAAGTTGGATTTTGAATAGAAGTTCACGTTCAATTGGTTCATCTATATCTTAATAATCATTGATCATTCATAAATTTTTTTTTTTATTTTCAAATAAATTTACTTTGTATTTCAACTTTTGTATTATCACTATCAGCTTCTATTAATGTTTCATAATACATAGGTGATATTGTACTTTCTCGTGCAATTCGAATAGTAACACCAGGCATTGGTCGACCAACAGTACCTAATTAGAATTAATTATCATTAAAATATCATTTTTTTAAATATCGAAACCTGGAATTCTTTCTCCTTTTAATGGATTTGTTAATGCTATACCACATTCAGTCATTCCATAACGTTCAAGAAGATGATGACCAGTTATTTCATACCATCGTCGATGAATACTTTCAGGTAATGGAGCTGAACAACACATCATTAAATGAGTCATTTGTGAACATTGTTCACGAACAAATTCTCTTGTTTGAGAACATCATGCTTATTTTCTTTCACAATCAAGTATAAGTTTTGAATATATTGTTGGTACAGCTGCAAAAACTGTTACATGTTTTTCAGAACCTGGTTGAACTAAATGTTCCCATGCCTAAATAAAATAAAAAAAAGAATTTAAGAAATAATTTTCAATAACATTTGATGCATCAAATTGAGGAAGCATGATAACTGTAGCACTGATGAAAAGTGGTATTAAAAGTCCATTTATAAGACCATGAACATGATGAACAGGTAAAACATGTAATATAACTAAATATTAAAAAACAACGAAAATAAGATTATTAAAGAGAAAAATTCTTTTGACCATCAACTTTAGTCTATCCCTATGCTTTTATCATTGAATCAATATGTACTTGAACTGTATCAAATATTAATACACATTCTTTTGGTTTACCACTTGGTCCATTTGTATATATAATTACAGCATTTGATCGTTCAGTTCAATCAATAGTTGTCGTTGATAATAAAAGATCATCATTAATATCTTCATCTAGAATTATTGTTGATAAATTTTTTTTATTTATATTAATAATAGGAATATCAACTTGTAGATGATTTGTTAGTGTTGATTTAATAAATTCATTACTACGATCATCACCTACAATAACTCCTCGACATTATGCATCACTAAGAAAATAAACACGTGATGCAGGTGGATGATGTGATGATAATGGTACCACAGTTGCATTAACCATTCATGAAGCCCACATAGCAACAATAAATGAAACATCATTTGGACATAAAATACCAATTTGAACATGACGTTTATTTGAAATATTGTCAGTTGATTTTTGTTGTTGGCTAAATGGAATAAGACAACGAGACAGTTGACGTTAACGTAAATAAAGTTGACTATATGTATACGAAGATGAATGATCAATTAATGCTATATTATTTACATGTTGTGAAACGGATTCGTAATAAATAGGACGTGATGTAGATGATAATTGACAAGAAGATTTTAAATGAAAAAAGCTTTTTCGTATTGAATAAAGAACAATACGAGAATAAATCATCTATAAAAAGAAGTTCCCAATCAAAATGATTTCATCAAATTACATCCAGTCTACCTTTTATTATTTATTCCTAGCACCGAGTATTAAAATATAACGAATTACAAAATAAAAAAAAAATCAAAGCATAAGATAATGATAATAGAATTAATATAGATTATTTTATTAACTTTAGATGAAGATAGAAAAAGTTTAGAATTTAATACTTTTTTATTCACTTTTCCAACAGCATTTCGTTCAAGTTTATCGACAATTTTGGATTGTGTTGAACATTAATAACCTAGCAATTTTTTTCTATTGATGGTCGAAGTGGTTCAGCAGCAGTTAATCAAAATTCATTAGATTCTCAGAATGAATATTTTTATAAAAAGGATTTATTCAGAAAGAATTAACGAATAGAATTCATCCATTGAGAATCAAGAAAAAAAAACGAGATGATGGAAAAAGGAGTACATTACCATGTAAACCCTATTTTATGGAATATCATTTGATAATTGATCATCCTATTTTATATGATATTCATCACAGAGAGATTGAAGATTTGTAATAAGCTTCGCTCGAGATTAAGTCATATCTGATATAAAATTAATAGCTTTTTTTTGAAAATGTTGACTTTGTTTTCATATCAAGTGATCAAAAAAAATGAATGATGATTGACAAAAAAAAAATGATGATTCACAAAAAATAGAATGATGATTCACAAAAAAAAAAGAAAAAAATAAGACTTGATGAAGAGAAAAAAATCAGGAAATGGTTAATGTTTTACGCCTTTAACAATTGTCGCCAGTTCACTTAAATATTCGTCGGCGGAAATCTGTTTTCCGTACCATTTCGTGGTAAGTTCGTTTATTTGTATCAAAATATTATCATTTGAACTCTGAAAAAAAGGAAGATATTATTATTAGTGAAGAAAAAAAAATAAAGGAAGTATGCACCTCTTTCTTCTCGGCCATTTTCTCAACAAAAATTTCTTTAGTTGTTTTGAGATTGATAATCAAACGTGGAGGAAAGAAAAAGAAAGCACCTATATATAGTATACCTTCCTATGCTTTCTCTCCTCTATCTTCGTTGACTGAAAAAAGGAAGTTGTTTAAAGAGAATAATGAATAGATAGTGAGAGAGCGAGAGATATCAAGACTAGTCAGCTATGTTTATTTTCTTTTATTCGTTCAACTTACACTTGAACTAGGAAGATTTATTGGTGATTGAAAACGATTCGTATTATCATCTTGAAAATTACTGCCAATTATTCGAGCTATTGATGATTGAGGATAATCGAGTTTATCATTTAATTTTATTTTCTTTGATGGAGGAAATTGAAAAATATCATCTGAACGTGCATCAGAAATCAATGAATTTGATGATGAAGAATAATTTATTTTATAATCTGAAGATTTATTTGGACTAATTCTTTTGGTTGATGTTGCAGGATACTTTAGAATATCATTTGAAGATGGATCAAACGTCAATGAATTTGATACAGAATAATTGATTTTGTCATTTGAATTATTATTTGAACTATTTTTTTTGGTGGATGATGCAGGATATTCAAGAATATCATTTGAAGTTGGATCAGAAATTGATGAATTTGATGATACAGAGTAATTTATTTTATCATCTAAACAAACATTCGAACTAATTTTTTTGGTTGATATTGCTGGATATTCAAGAATATCATTTGAAGATGGATCAGAAATTGATGAACTTGATGATCCAGAATAATTTATTTTGTCATCTAAACAATCATTCGAGGGTGTGGGTGTGGGTGTGGGGCTTGATTTTATTGTTATCTGTACCCAAACCCACACCCACACCCCGCCACCCCGCCACCACACTCCCACCCACACACCCACGCCCCGCCACCACACCTACACTCCCACCCACACCCACACACCCACACCCAAATCCCAATATACCCAGAAAACCTAGTTTTCTCAATAAATGCTGCCCAGGATTCGCTCCCAGCAGGGACGAAAAATTGAAAATGACATAGATCGATAGAGCTCGTCGAGTTTTATCGATCTATGTCATTTTCGACTTTTGGTCCCAGCTGGGAGCGAATCCAGTTCGGCTTTACCTAAAAAAAACCAGGTTTTCTGGATATATTGGGGTTTTATGGGGTATGGAAGCACATAAAATACCTCAAAAGGTATTCGTTGGATAGAACTCATTGAGTTCTATCTATCTATGTCATTTTCAGCTTTTGGTCCCAGCTGAGGGCGAATCCAGCTTGGCTTTACCTTAAAAAAACAAGGTTTTCGGGAAATATTGGGATTTTAAGGGGAATGAAAGCACATAAAATACCTGAAAATGTATCCACTGGATAGAGCTCGTCGAGTTCTATCTGTGTGTACGATTTTTAAGTTTTGGTCCCACCTCAGAGCGAATCGCGATGCACTATACAAACAATATCTAATTTTTTGCTTATTTTTTTACAGTATTCTAGGTTTTTCTTCCGCTTGGATTGGTATTGGAAAAAAAGTAAATAGTGCATTCGATAGAACTCGTTGAGCTCTATCTTGGTCCATAGAGTTTAGTCTTTGGTCCCAACTGTGAGCGAATCCAGTTGCGGAATACTCGAATCCAAGCTCAAGATATCCTACGTTTAAAGAAACGAAAAAATTTGTTAATAAATCGAATTTTAAAAAAGAAACTATCCCAGTTATCATTACTTGATTATCAATTGTATTTTATGACAACCTCAGTGTGTTCTAATTCTTAGTATTCATGTTATTAGATATTGATGGAAAGATGAATTCAATTCTTTTTAATCGTCTTGCTGAGATTTTAACTGGAGAAAAAAAGTCTTGAGCATTAGGCCTCTTAGGAGAATTTTTTAGTTTGATTGGTTATCAAATAACAGTGTATATATTTTTAGACATTCTATCAGGAGAAAAACTATCTTCTACATATATTAAACAAAATCAACTTGTCAAACTATGTCTGCTCATTTATTAAAAAAACACGCGGAAAAAAATTTGCTTTAATTTCATATTATTCAGGCCTCGCTAGAAGATTTTATTTTTGCCAAATATATTGTATACATAAACCAAAATTTAAAAAAAATTATTCTAGTGTTAATTATATTTAATGTAGAAATATATATATGACAAATAGAAAATTATATCCGAAGACAAAATCTTGATAATTCGATATCGATTCTACTATGAGGAAAACATTTTTGAACTAAACAAAAATATTACTTTTTCTTAAAGTATTGTTTTTTTTATTTACATACCAATCGATTTTGATGTTTCTAAATTTTGTGTCCATTGTGAAGCATCAATATGATAAAAGTATCCTGATTGAATATTTAGTGGAACTAAAAATAAATAATAATTTGAATTAATATTATAGACAGTTCTCCAAGTTATAAATTTTATTATCCTATTAAACAAGAAATAATCGCCTTCTTCATGCTGAGTTCTTTATTTTTCAAGTAAAATATCAATGCTTCGTTTCTTTTTGAACACAATATTGTAACTGATTATTATTTTTGAAAAAAATCATTTATGGAATGTCCTACATAGTGAAGGAAAAATAATTTATAGGATAGAATAAATTAATTAATCAAAGAATCCTTATTGTAATTTACAGAATAGTTATTGACAAAAAGAAACACACTAAACTAGATGATGTGTTTTATTACAGATCCATAAAAATGGCATGCCTTTTCGTTTGATTAAAATTGAATGTTTTCTTTTTTTCGCTTTCTTACATGCATACAGGTATGGAAGACTAAAAAATCAAACTTTACGAAGATTAAATCAGAGATTATAGTCAGATATTTATTTGTTTTTGTCAATGACTTATTTCATAGTTATCGTTAATGACAATAAAACTAAAAGAGAGAAGACTTAAAAAGTATGTCATTTGTTCAGTAAATAAACTGAACAACGAACGATAATTTAAGAAGGTTTATAAATTCTGTGACCTTAATTCAGATTCAGAAATACAAGAATAAACTAAAAGTCTTGTTAGCGCAGTTCATTTTACGAATGAAATATGGAATTCGAATAAATTCCTTAGCCTCCCTTAAACTAACAGAAGATACTGAAATTAACAATATCTTGTAGATTTTAGTTGCTTCTCAAGCCAATCAATCGCTGCAGTATGAATCTATCTAATTTATTTCTGGACGTGGAACAGAAATTTTTCCTGTTTTTTTGGAGAGAATGATGTAGCTGAAAAACTTCGACTTGCCAATTATACTCAGCATTCTCTTTAAGAATATATAGGAGTTCCACAAAACGAGATATATACATAAATTCTAAAATTGATAAAAATTTATTATTATATTAGAGACTTGCAGGCAGTAGCTCATTCTAAATAGTAAAAATTATACATATCTACATAGTTTCTTTCGAAAATACACTTACTAAATGTCCAAGGAAAATCATCTGGTCGTCAACGATGCAAAGTTTGTAAATGAGGCATATGAGTACTGAGAAAAGATACAAGATTCTTTCCAACGTAAATCGAGTCATTAGGGTCATAATGACAACTAGGAATACTGAATTCAGCACATTGAACAGAGCTCAATAAAAAATAAAAGAAAATTAGAAATTCTCTAGAATTCATTTCCTTGAATAATTTGATATTTGCTTTGAAATAGAATGAAACTAGGCGTCTACAAAGCTCAAGCTATTCAATCTCGGTCAGACTCATTTTGGGATCTGACTGAACCCAAGTCAAACTAATGTTAAGTCTAACAAAGTTCAAACCCGACCAAGTCTAAACTGTTCAGTCTAGGTTCAGCTCGATGCAAACCTACGATATAATGAATAACTAATATAAAGATGAAAATTATTTAAAACTTTTTTTTACTCTTTACATAATATCGAAGTCTTCACTAAAATACTATGGTCATTTTCTAATTATTCTTTTTATTTGAAAATTTTTTGTATTTTAGACTTATTATCTTGCCTATTTTTATTTATCAATAAATATGAATAACAAGGTTTTATTTCATTTTTATTCTTGAAAACATATACACGATGATCAGTTTTCAATAATCCATGTGTCCAAATCAATTATGAAAAGAAAACTATTTTTTGTTAAATTTCAAGTAAGACAACAAATGTAATAGATATTTAAGTTGAACTGGTGTTGAAATGAAATGAGCAAATATTTTTGTACATACTTTATTTAGGTTCATTGATTGTACTAATAAAAACTTTCTAAAAAGATTAATTTCTTTTTGTAAGTTAATTTATTTATATATTTCAAGTAAAAAAAAAACTTATTCTAAAGAATATTTTCTAAAGACAAAATAAATAAATATAAGTGACACTTTATATAACATAATTCTTTGTTTGGTCTTTACAAAGAGTTTTAAATATATTTCATGAAAACAAAAAAAAATATTTCATTACAGTTGATCTTCGCCCAACATATATGTGTTGAAATGAAGACAGAGACCACTCTTGATAAGATTCTGATAGTTTATTTTATCATAGCTTTCGAAATGCTTTTTCAATGGATAGTTGTATCTTCCGTTTCAGAAATGATATATAAGATCTTTCAACATGGTCGTACGGTAATATTAATATGAACTCATTTAGCAAAAACAATCAATTTAAGTTTCAACTTTCGAATCTAAAAAACATTCCGATTCTATTTTTATATGCATGTGAGCTGTAGGTTAAAATGGAGGAAATGGCAAAAGTCAGGAACAGTCATACTCAACTTCGATATCTATACTTTAAAGTGTGTAAGTTAATTATGGTGAGATAATACTTATGTTCAGGAGCATAAATGTTGACTTTGAGGATCATAAACGGTATGTTTGAGACCAGGAATGTAGAAGAAAATCATAAAAATGGTAGTTGTGAATTCTATTGTTTTATCCTTAAAATTAAAAACTGATGAAGTTTTTCAGTTTGACATTCCTTGACTTCACGGCAAAGACTTCTGTTTTTTTTATTGATAGAAAATCTATGGAGTACAACGAATTCGATGAAAATAACAATAATCAATGAGATACGATGAATCGATCTAATCAAAATTTGATATTATTTATTCTATACTCAGCGTGCATTGAATAGTTTTGTATTATGTTTGAAGAAAATCCTAATCCTAATAATAAAATTCATTTGGTATGAGTTATTATCCTTAAAAAAAATTAAGAACTGTTTATTAAACTTCATGCATACAGTTTTTATATAAGCATGCATTGAACAAATATATTTCGAACAATTAACATTTATGTGTAAGATAATATTAATCAAGGTAAAATACACTAATACATATGAATCACATGATATAAGCAAAACTCCAAATCAAGTCTTGTCACATTTCGAAGTTGAATATCACTATCAACATCTCTATAACATTCTATATAATAAAAAAAACAATGAATATATTTTCTGATAATAAAATACAAGTTTTTCTAAAATCTTTCGTCAATTTAATTGCATATAAAGTATATATTGTTGGAAATATTTTGTAGGATGTGATTGTTCTTTTCGCTAAGCACATAATCATACTCTTCCTTTTTTATCAAAACACAATCTGAGAGAACTCCTGAAAAATAGAAACAAAAATTATGTTACAATAATGGATGGGTCAGAATGAATTGTAATAAATGTTTTTATTTATTTTTTCGTTCATCTCCTTTTTCTAAAAATATTCATCTGGACATTAAAAAGGATGCAAATCTGTTCAGTCCATTAACTGTGATTTGTGATTTTCGACTGACATTTCATAATTTTTTATAAGGTTTTCCGACAAAATCATGTAATTATTATAGTGAGTAGTGACAAATGTAGGCTATTTTAAGACTTAAAAAGAAACTATGATCTAAATTCATCAGAAAAATAGCTTTTTCTCTGTTCTCGTAGGTTTTTCTTAGAAACTGTTCTTTCTTTTCACAAATCAGCAAAGAATAAAATCTTAACCTGTATAAAATTTAATATGAGAAATATTAAGATATATTTCATTTAGTTGCTCAAGAAATCAGTAGGTAAAGAGTTGGATGCAAACCAATCGAAATATCTTGAATATGTAGTCAAATAAAAATATTTATCTCAAAACTAAAAGAAAAAATCATATTAAAAAGTTATACATATTCTTGTAGAACAGATTATCTTACTGTAATTCATTCGTAAATTCAAAATTGATGAAATTTCAAAGGGATTTATTATTTTTTTCAATATTCCTCGACAATAATTTACATATGAAGATGAAGTTTAAATTTTTGGATGTGATTTAAATTATTAAGTATCCATATTATATAGGCAAATTCGAAATCATTATGGGCGAAAACTTTTAAAGTCAAATACTGCAATTTTGGTACCTAGAGTTAGTAGAAGAACAAAAAAACACAAGAAAACCACCCTTTGAATAAATTGTTCCTATTAGAAATCAATTTTCTCTGACGTTGAGAATGTGGATGTAGACGAGAATGCAGTGAATATCAAAGTACACACACTATCACCCTAATCAAAGGATTGCGTTTGAAATTCTCTATAAAATCATACAAGATTGGAACCAAAGATTGTTTTACAAATATGTTGAAAAAAGTGAAGATTATGGATGTACAACAAAGCTGTGCAAATCATATATGAAAATTTTTATGAATCAGCAAAATTTTATCGTGATTTGTCCACGATAGTTTCATTAAAAACAATTAAATTCTAAACAAAAAATGATCAAGAACGCTGTCTCTATAGAGTTGTTACCCTGTTTTCGATCGTTTAGGCTTAGTTCACACAAAAATGACTGTCTAAAAGATCAAATGGCATCTGCTTTTCAAGAAATAGTTGTCAATAAGAAAACTAGCTACTGACACTAAGTGTACAACGTTTACTATCACATAAGAATCCTAGCTTTTCTTCCATATAAGAAGGTCAAAGAGTCAACCTAAAGAGTACGATAATGTTGCAAACTAAATGCTAGCGGAATTTGTTAATTTAATGTTCTGTAAAAAAAGACTAGAAAAAGAAAATAGTTTAAGGTTGGTACTTGTGTTCAATGCAAAAAAACAATGGAAGAACTTGTGTCTAGAGAGAGTACAGAAGAAATATCAAACTTACTAAGAAAACAATTTATTTTGCACCATAAAAATTCTAAATGATTTCAATAAAGATGAAAAGTTAATCATAATGAATTTATCTCGCCTTTTCAAATCAGTTTCCATTTGATTGTGTTAATGTTTCAATATCTGACTTGGATCGTGGTTCAATATACATCAGTTGTTAAAAAGCAACTGATAATCGTTCAATAGGCGAATTATCATCAGAAATATTGAGCCGAATGTGTGTTAATTGACATTTAACAGAACAGCAATTGATGTATCAACTATTTAAATCAACGAAAAAAACATGGTAAATAGAATATCTAATCTACTACTCTCATACATATAATTTATTTTTATTTTCAGAGACCTCACTTAATATCTCAGGTATTCGACACAATCATATATCCGGGATGCAATACTCTTTTAAAAATACTTACTGTTCAAAAACGTCTTAATTCGAAAATATAGAATCTCAAATTCTGACACTGTATATTCAATGTTGGATATGTGATTAACTTACGTAGAAGTAGTTCAAAGACGAAATTCGAAAATATGAGTTGCTTAGAAATATGTTGTCATGGAGAGCTATTTGGAAAAAAACCATCTTACAAACTCG